TCCCACAGGAGCAGCTCCACATGTCCCACAGAGTCCCTCGGAGCCAGACTCGACTCCGTGGCAGTGAGGGTCCTGAGTAACTATTTTCTTTGCACGGTCCCTCCTCCACAAAGGTGCTCATGTCTTACGTACCTTGCTAGCAAGCCATTCCGTTCCCTGGGCAGACCATAAGCACTTCATACTTGCCCGGTCCTCCTCGGTCCTCTGATTGCCGTCACAAAGACGATGGCTAGAAGGCCCATGGTCAGTAAGTCACTACCCTTCAGCAGCCTTCCAGAACTAAGATAGGCACCAATCAACAAACATAGCTGGGTGGGGGTTTCCCTCCGTTCAGAGAGCAGCCTTCCCTACACTGTGCTGCTCCTCGGTTTTTAAATTTCACGAGGTCGCGAAGTTGATTCTCAAAAATCCCACACGTAGGGACCTTATAGGACACAGTAGAACTGCCCCTGTGGGTGACCGAGACGGTAGGTACCTTCAGGAGAGTAGAAAGTCTCACCTTTCTCTCAAGGTGGTTTTGGGTGGCTGACCTTGTGGTCATAACCACAATGGCGCCAGGGCTCCTGAAGCTGATTCTACACATGTGTATCAAGAGCCCTGCGTTCTGGACAGGCCGCATTCCCTGGTCTGAATGTAGCCAGTCTCCCAAGGACAGGGGTTCTCAACCTTCCTAATGCCTCGACCCTTTAATACAGTTTCTCATGTTGTGGTGACCCCTCCCACCATAAAATGATCTTTGTTGCTACTTTATAACTGTAATTTTGCTACAGTTATGAATTGGGTGATCCCTGTGAAAGGGTCGTTCGACCCCCAAAGGGGTCAAGACCCACAGGTTGAGAACCGCTGTCCAAGGGTGTTTTCCAATCTGTTGCCATTGCAAGATCGCTCCTTCAATTTTACGCGGTAACCTTGACTTTCCATGAGTTTGCGCATCGACCAACCTATCTAGGATGCATGCCTGCACCCGGAGATTTTGGGTCCTAGAGTTTATGTGTTTGTCTACAGATGGTCTTTGGGTGTCCATGCTGCACTCCCCCTCACTCACAATGATACAATTTTTTGTTCTGGGTCTTTGATGCCTGATACCTGATCCCAATGACACCTCGTGATCACACAGGCTGGTGTGCTTCTTCCATATGGGCTTTGTTGCTTC